CTCTCTCTCCATCCCAGCCGCAAGGTGAATGGCTTGCTCCACACATTCCCTGCAGTGATGTACCGCTTCGTGGCATCCAGAGGAGCAGGGCCCTGGATCATGACCAAGTCCTCCAAAACCACCAGCCCAAATAAGCCTTTTCTCTAAGGTTGATTCTTTTTATATACATATATATTTTTTTTAGCTGTAGGTGGACACAATACCTTTATTTTGTTTGTTTATGTTTACGTGATGCTGAGGATTGAACCCAGTGCCTCACATATGCAAGGCAAGCGCTCTACCACTGAGCTACAACTCCAGCCCAGCTAAGGTTGATTCTTCTCGATGTTTGTTATAGTGATGGAAAGCTATGTCTCTTTCTTTTTTGAGTTGAAGGACATCTTACTGTAATTTTAAATAATATCCTTTGATACACACCCATAAACAGAGCTGTCCCTCATTTTCCACAGGGGATTGCTTCCCTTGGATGTTTTGTCCAAGACCCCTGTGGGTACCAAAACCCACGGACACTCCAGTCCCTTWTAAAAGAAATGGCATATTATTGCATACAACGTATACACATCCTTCCATGTAATGTAAATCCTCTCCAGACTGCTCAGAGCACCTGATATGTGCAGACACCATGTGAATGCCTGTGTGGCCTGGGGCCTGATGGCAGGGAGGGTCTGCACATGCTCGGTACACATGGGTTTCCTTCCACAGGTTTTTAATGTGTGGTTGGCTCTCCAGGGAAGCAGAGCCCCTGGACTTGGAGGGCTGACTGTACGTGTGTTTAGACGTCTTGGCCTGGCCATTCATTTTCATAGTAGCGCCTTGACGAGAAGTTCAGTTTTTATTGATAATATCATTATGGTGTTCTGGTACTCTCCAGGAAATTTTTACCTGCTGAAAGGTCTCAAAAATGTGTTTTAGAAGTTTTATAGTTGTTAGTCTTTACATTTTAGGTCTGTGATTTGTCATGAATTGTGTGTGACTTGATGCAAGGAATTGAGTCACGTTATTATCTGTGTGTGTCCAGCACCACGTGTCCAGAGGGCTTCCCCTCCCCATCCAGCATGGAGGAGTCTTATTGAAAACCAGTTAGCTCTACACCTGGAGTGTTTCTTGGGTTCCCCATTTTGTTTCCAGGATGCGTCTGTGTGTCATGTGGGCTTTGGCACCACACAGAGTCCTCGTAGCTTTAGCGTTTCCAGCATCATTGCTCTACCTCTGTGATGTGAGGCCAGAGGACCTTAGGGCCCAGGGACAGAGCTCCGTGACAGAGCACTTGCCTGGCCCATAGGAGCCCAGAGGTCCATCCCCAGCACTGCTAAATGCACACAAGACCCTGAGAGGTGGGAGAGGTGCCTTGGGAGATGCTGAGTTCCCAGCGGTTTTTCCTGGTGCTGTGATTGAACCCAGGCCTTCACACATGCTAGGCAAGCACTATACATTGAGCTGCGTCCTCAGCCTCCTTTCAAATTTCTTTTTAAAGTTTTTTGAGACAGGGTCTTGCTAAGTTGCCCAGGCTGGCCTTGAACTTCCAACATCCTGCTCAGCCTCCTGAGTAGCTAGCTGTGTGTTACACGGGCTGTGGTGTTACAGGTGTCTGCCACCACACCTGGCATCTTCTTTTAAAAAATCTGATACCTAGGGGTTTTAGTTATATTTATCAGGAGGAATAGGGATAAATATGGTTTATTTAAATTTTTAAAAATGTATACCAAATTATCTCTTGCCACAAAAATAGGAATTTCTGGGTTTTGGTATTTCCTTACCTCTGGATGTTTATACTCGAATTTTCCATTGGCCATTTGAAGTCTTTTGCTTCCATGGCGTTCAGGCTTGTGGTGTCTCTACCCCCCAGGTTACTCTGCACCCTTGTCCTCATGTGAACACGCTGCTTTTCCCTTCCTGCTTGATCACCTGCCTGCTGGCCCTGGCCCTCAGGGCTGCTGCAGCTGCCCCAGCTCTGTGGTGATCAGGTCCTCTTAGTCCCTTCAGACTCCTGGAACAGCACCGAGGGCGGCATTGCCATGCTCTAGAGGCTGGGAAGGCCAGCTCTCTGTTCCATAGGTGGTGGTGCTCCTGCGTCCCCAGGGGTGGAAGCAGCAAGCCCTGGTCTCTTCAGCCTCTGCCCAGGACACTAATGTGTTCATGAGGGCCCCACCCTCATGACTAGTCACCTCCAAGAGGCCCTGCCTCTAATACATCACCCTTGGGATTACGTTTTAACTTGGGGTTGGGGGAGACACAGTCCATAGCACGTAGCAACTACTGATTCTGAGTAGTTCTTACAACATAGTCTGTTAAATGCTTTATGATCAAAATGTTCTTTGTCCATCTAGTAAGGAAGATGCATAAGGAGGGCAGTGCACCAGGAAGACTTGCCGGTGCCCCAGGAGCAGGAGTGAACAGCAGCTGTCTGGTGCTGCTGCCAGCACCCCTCCCTCCTCCTCACAGTGGCCTCATCAYTTGCCTGCTCTGCAGGTGGTGACAACCCCCACCATAGCTCCTTGTCCTTCCCAGCCCCCCTTGTCTCCCGAAGCCCTTCCCAGGGTGCCTTGGCAGTGCTGCTGCTGTTAAGCTGGTCTCCTGCCTTTGCCTAGGGCCCACGCCCACAGGGCTACCCACAATATCTAACACCCCGCCCCACACTCTTCCCTGCAGTGTCCTCCTGAGGGCAGTGTGGTGGGAAGAGGTTTTTTGAGTCAAGTGGCTCCCAGCCGTACCTCTTGCTCTGTGATTTTTTTTAGGTACGCTACTTAAGCTTTCTGAGCCTTGATTTCTGTGGAAAGGGGGAAAAGTACCAATTTTCTTACAAGCTGTACTAAGGTTAATTTAGGAAAGTTCTGGAAACTTTAAGAACTCCTATAAAATTTGGATCTGTATCCTGAATTGAAATTTAAGGCCAACCGTGAGACTCATTCTTTCTGATCTTTGTCTTGGCGGTACATTTGCTGAGAACAGAGGAGGTTCTGTTAGTTTATTAAACAAGCCCTCAAGCATTGCCATGGGTTGGGTTAAGTGTGGGACTCAGATGGACCCAGTGGGCCTGTGTTCAGAAGAAGATGGGGTGCAGTCAGTGCCGTGGTGCAGGTCTGCTGAGAGGGTCCTGGCCCCACAGGGGGCAGCCCCTGTGACCTGTGCTGAATAGGTCAAATCACAGGAAGGACTCCTGGGGCCAGGGTTGTTGGTGCTTGATCTTTTATTTTTAAGCACCTTTGTTGGGTTACAGTTTATATCCCAAGAAATCCATCTACTTGAAGTGAAGAGTTGCGTGGATTTTAGTAAATGTACAAGTTATGTAGCCATTGACRAAGCCATGAGTGTTCTCCACCATCCAGAAGGTTCCTGCCTGTCTCAGGCCTGATGTGGAGCATGGAGTGACTTAGCCGTGCAGCACAGTTGAGAGCATGGCCGGGTGCAGCAGGGCTGTGTGTCTGACAGGAAGCTGTGCTCTTTCCCACAAGCTGTGTGTCAGCCTCCATGGATGCTGGGACTGTTTCCTTATCTGTGAGATGTAATCACTTGTCTGATTGAACTGTACCTCCCTCTGAATTCTTGAGTCCTATGTTTGCCTAAATTTAAGGTACCTTGGATTAGTGGAAAGATAGGGTGCACTTTCAAAAGTGATATCCAGCTGAGTGCATGGTACACGCCTGTAATCCCAGGAGCTCAAGCCTAAGACAGGAGGATCGCGAGGTTAAAGCCAACCTCAGTAAAAAGGAGGTGCTAAGCAACTCAGTGAGAACCTATCTGAACATAAAATACAAAAAAATAGGCTGGGGATGTGGCTCAATGGCCAAGTTCCCCTGAGTTCCATCCCCAGTACCCCCTGCCAAAAAAGTGATAGCCAAAAGACAGGGTCCATCAAGGAGAACACAAGGATTGAGCCAGGCACTGTGGTGCTTGCCCCCGCTCGACTCAGGAGGCTGGTCGCAGCAGGGTTGCAAGTTGGAGACTAGCCTGGGCAACTTAGTGAGACCCTGCCTCAAACATTGCCAGTCTAATAATAGAAAAGTAGCTATTGTTCTTAAATTATCATTGAAGTTTAAGATTGTTTTCATTGTATATTTGTGAAATGTGAATAAGTTTTTGATGAATTGCCTATTCACATTGTCTAGTTCTCTTGGTTTATTTCTATTTTCATTCATTTGTAAGAACTCTTTGCTTTTTAAAGAAATTTCCTATCTCAGTTGACAGACGTTTTTGATATTTGCTTGTCTTTTAACTTTAAGGTCTTTTTGACTACAGGGTCAGATCTACCAGATATTTCACTTTTGGCTTATGGAGTTTTAAAACTGCAAAATAACCTCAGCTTAGTATCATAATAATGTTAAAGAGGAGGAAGAACTAATTAATCTAAGTAGCTTTTAAACTTGGCACTTTGACTACTCTGTGTCTAAAGAAGAAAACAAAGCAACCAGATTTTGAACTCTTCTTGTTTGTCCTTTGGTGGTGTCTGCTGTAGTAAAACTTTTGTGTGTTTTAGGGTCGATCAGKGAGGGCTCCTTTGCTTAAGTGTAACTGCCGCACAAAATACAACGGCTCTTAGAAACACAGGCTTGTCTAATCGCATGCAGCGGGCAGTCACAGTCAGTGACCTGTGATTGTGTGACTCCTTCAGTCTGTCATTGAAGCATTGTAAATTTTAATGATGTGAGCTGTTCATATGTAGTTACGTAAGTAGCCTAATATATTATTCAGTGAGGTTTTATGGTGCGTAGCAGTCAAAACGAGGCCCTTTACATTAGCTAGTTCTTTCTCAAGGAACTGTGGGTTCTGCCTGGAGAACCCCAACTCTGATTTCCAGTTGGTTTACTTTACTGATACTTGAAGGTCCTAGCGTGTTCAGCTGTGAGAAGGGAACTTGAGATAATAAAATGAAGGCTTTTTAAAGGGGAGTTGTGGGGGAACTACTTTTGGTTGTTGGCGAAGACTGATGGCGTGCTGCTGGGGGCGATCTTGCGCTCCTTGGCTGGTGGATGGTCAGACTGATGCCTCTGTTCTCTGCACAGGTGTGATGGGCAGGTGAGGAGAAGCCACCTCCCTGTCTGGTCTCAGCATGACCGAGTGCTTCCTGCCCCCCACCAGCAGCCCCAGCGAGCACCGCAGGGCCGAGCATGGCAGCGGGCTGACCCGGACGCCCAGCTCCGAGGAGATCAGCCCCACAAAATTCCCTGGACTGTACCGCACGGGCGAGCCCTCGCCCCCCCATGACGCCCTGCATGAGCCCGCCGATGCGGCGTCGGAGGATGAGAAGGACCATGGCAAGAAGAAAGGAAAGTTCAAGAAGAAGGAGAAGAGGAGTGAGTGCTCTCTGCCCACAGTCAGGCTGGCGTGGCCCACGTTCTTGCTTTCAGAGTCTCAGTTTTCACCTATTGAAGTTGTATTTTGGGGTCTTAATTTGACACACAAATTACCAAATTTCCAAATACGGTAAAAGTTTTCTAGAGGACATCTTTTAAAATATATAAAAAGAGGGCTGGATTGTGGCTCAGTGGCAAAGCGCTTGTCTCACACATGTGAGGCACTGGGTTCAATCCTCAGCACCGCATAAAAATAAATAAACAAAGATATTGTGTCCATGTATAACTAAAAAAATATTAAAAAAAATAGACACTGGAATTTTGGCTGAGAGAGCCTTACGTTCTCAGTAGTTTTTGTGGGCATTTGGGGCACACTTTGGTTGGAACTGAAAAAGGTAGTTACTCCTTGTCATTGGCCAGTGCCACAACCTTCTGAGGCTCCCATTCACTGGGAGGATGCAGCCTCTTGGGTGTTTTAAAGGCAGGTGGGGTGAGTTGGTTTAAGTTCAGTATTTATTTTGGATCTCATGGTGTTGGTTGTCCTGTGGAGCAGGCATAGCGCATGGCTCAGCGCTGCAGTCTGGGGAGCAGGTCAGCTCCTAGCCCCAGGGACTCAAGAGACAACCGGCTGATGGCCTGCCCCCTCTTCGGCTGTCTCTTCCGCCCAGTCCTATTCCTTGCTCCCAGCAGTGACTGTGCACCTCTGTGGCCCGACAGTSTTTCACTGTGTTCACACACTAGGATGGATGTACCCGCTTTGCTGCATTATCATTAGCTACTTTCATTTTTCAACTGTTGTGAGGAGCACTTCCCTGCAGTCCTACCTTTTTTCCCCTTATTATTTATTTATTGATGTTGTAGATGGACAAAATGCCTTTATTTTATTTGTTTATTTGTATGTGGTGCTGAGGATGGAACCCAGTGCCTMATGCATGCTAGGTAAGCGCTCTGCCACTGAGCCCCAGCCCCAGCCCCTCATGCCTGTCTTTTGGTGAGCGGGTTTATGCATTTCTGCTGTGTGTGCCTGGGCGTGGAAATGCACACTGTAGGCCCTGAGTCTCGCAGCTCCAGGAGATCTCGCAGAACAGCTTTCCAGGTGGTCAAACCAGTTCACATTCCCGACAGCAGTGCGTGACAATTCTTCTTGCTTTACGTCATGGTATTTTGTCCTTAAGATTTTTGCTGGTTAGTGTAAGATTCATGGTATTTTAGTTAGATGGTAGCTTATGAAATACCTTTGATTTTATTATAAAGTAGCTTATAGCTAGCTAAGAAAAGGAATGGGGGAGTTAGAGACATTAAAAACAGAAGCCATGGGCTGTGAGGCTGAGGTGCAACGTCACTAAGCCGAGGAGTTTGGGGCTAGCCTAGCAGCAGAGCAGGCCCTGTCTCAAAAACAGTCAAAACACAAAAGCTAATTGTGACCTGGTGTTAAGGCCATGGGGCTCTAGGTCAGTGTGAGAGAGCAGAGCTACTCTGCCAGCAAAGGGGTGACACATTGGCCACCATCCAAGAGGGGGAGAACCTCTTGGAGCAGTCCTCCCAAGAGGTGGCTGTGGTCCCTGCCCCAGTCACAGAAAGAGCCCAGTAGCTGGTGACAGGAGAGCCAAGTCTGTCAGGAACCATCACAGCGGTTTCTGTGGTGCCTTGAGACTGCATTGAAAGCCCAGCTGAGGAGCCTGGGTGGAGGGCAGGGTCACCGGGAGAGAGGACACTCTGCTGCAGGGCCCATCATGTTTGTCCTCAGTGTGGACCTCTAGCACCCCACTCACACGCCTGCACTGTAGGGCCAAGGCCTGTGCTCTGCCTGTTGCCCTCRTGTGGCTGGCAGGGGCACTGCCATCCCTTGCAGCTAGCTGAGCACAAAGCCTGCATTTGCAGGGCTGAGGAGGAAAGCCAGAGAGCTGGTGCCCGGGCACCTCTGCAGCTGTGCTCTTTTCAGAAAGCAGATGGCCACTTTGACACTGAGCACATGCGTAACTCACACTCCTTGCGTTTCTTTGGCAGCTGAAGGCTATGCTGCCTTTCAGGAAGATAGTTCTGGAGATGAAGCCGAAAGCCCTTCCAAAATGAAGAGGTCTAAGGGAATCCATGTTTTCAAGAAGCCCAGCTTTTCTAAAAAGGAGAAGGATTTTAAAATAAAAGAGAAACCCAAAGAAGAAAAGCATAAAGAAGAAAAGCACAAAGAAGAAAAGCATAAGGAGAAGAAGTCAAAGGACTTGACGGCAGCTGACGTTGTCAAACAGTGGAAGGAAAWGAAGAAAAAGAAGAAGCCCATCCAGGAGCCGGAGGTGCCTCAGGTGGACACACCCAGCCTCAGGCCTGTCTTTGGGATCCCTCTGGCTGCTGCCGTGGAGAGGACCATGATGTGCGACGGCGTCCGCCTGCCGGCCGTGTTCCGCGAGTGTGTGGACCACGTGGAGAAGCATGGCATGGAGTGCAAGGGCATCTACAGAGTGTCAGGTATGGGGTGCGCCTCGCTGCTGGGCTGTGGACCTGAGCTGCTGTCTCCAGCCTGTAGGGAGCGCTGTGGCCTGGGCCGCAGCCCGAGCGTCTCCCTGGCCCTTGCAGTTGCAGCCGCCACCACCTCTTTGTCTGACAGTCTGTTTTTGTAAGCATTTGCACCTGAGTTGTTCATAGCTCACAGCAGCAGGGACAGGATGGAGGGAAGCATTTGGGGAGCATCGTCCAGCAGGGCTGTGCTCAGAGCCCGCTTGCTCTCCCTTCTGCCCTCTGGGCTGCGTGAAGCTCAGTGGTGGCAGGGCCTGCAGTGAGGTGGTGGGCAGTGAAGGAAGCTCTGACAGCCTTGCACTGTGGCTTCTGAGCTTGACTGAATGCTTAGGCCCCAGGTGCAAATGCTGCCGCTAGCCCCCTGCAGCTAGTAAGTGGATCACTGAAGAGAGTTTTCCATTTATCTACATCCAGTGTGTATGAAAACTTGTTTCATAGTTGGCACAAATTTATTTTATATTTGGTGTCTAAAATCAAGCAAATGGTATCTTATTTAAAAGTAAACAGGTTTCTTTCTTCCAAAATAGACACCATGCTGCTCTGGGTGAGGTTCTGAGCTGGAGGCATCTGCGTCCCTCAGCTCCATGACTCACCTCCAGCATCACCCACTTCTGTTCAGAGAGTTATTTTATGAAATCAGTTGTTGGTCACATGTTTTTGTGAGTTAAGTCATGTGCACTGGGGACATCTGCAGAGCTTAAGAAGCTTTCCACTTACTGGGTTCTGACACGTTTGCAGCAGGTAGATTTAATACTTAAGTTTGTTGAGAAGGGGCAGATATTTTTGATACTTAGGAAAATCTTTACACAATCTAATAGGTAACTTGTCCTTGAATATTTAACACGTAAGAGTAGTTGGTCTATGGGGCTGCAGCTGTAGCTCAGTGTTAGGGTACTTGGGGCAGGTTCCATCCTCAGCACCACACAAAAATAAAATAAATAAAATAAGGGTATTGTGTTCATCTACAAATAAAAAAAAAATTTAAAAGAGTAGTTGAGCTACTATTTTATAGAAAACAAAGTCAATCAAGAAATGAATTTGAATGATACTTCCTTAATATTATCTAGAATTAACACTTAAACATATTTGCAATTTTGATTTTTTTTTTGCAATTTTGATTTTTTAGAGAATAGTGTATGGGGCTGGGGCTGGGGCTGAGTGGCAGAGTGCTTGCCTTGCATATGTGAGGCACTGGGTTTTGATCCTCAACAACACATAAAAATAGAAAAAACAAAATAAAGATCTTGTGTGCATGTATAACTAAAGAAAAAATTTTAAAAACCCCAAGAATAATATATGACGAATTGTGTTTTTAAAGATTTAAGCAGTAATAATACAAGCTGCTTTCCTTATATCACCTTGATAGGCATGAAAAATTTTGTTATTAGGTGAAAGTTTCTCTGAAGAGTTTCTGGGATTTGTTCAAAGGGCTCTTTTTTTTCTCTGACCTGTTTTTGATGTGTGCGTTCTCCTGGGGAGTCAGAGTGGCAGGTTCTCTCTCTTCTGAAAGTATTCAAACTGAGCTGTCTCCCTGGTCTCCTCCTGGGCCGAGCGCTCACCTGGACAGTACGTCAGCACAGCCTGCTGTGGTGTGGTGGGTGCTAGAGACTTTCCTTTTTCAATGCCATTAACAATTTTTGCTGGGGATTTTTTGGTCCTCACTCATATATCATTCCCAACTTTAAAACCAATGTGAAAGACAATTGAARCAATTTTATGTTTTTAATTTACTCATCTACATTTTACTGTATCTGTGTAATCTTTCTCTCCCAGGTACTCTTTATTTGAATGTCCAGTTTTTAAAGGGAAAACATTTTGCCCGTATTTTTATTGGTGCATTATGCTCGTACCTGATGGTGGGGTGTGTGGTCATTTTTCTTTATGTAAATAAAACTCCATTGTGTATATATACCACATTTTCTTTATCCATTCATCCATTGACAGACATATAGACTGGCTCCATAGTTGAGCTGTTTGTGAACTGGGCTGCTGTGAACATGGGTGTGCATGTATCTCTATAGTAAGGTGACTTTAGCCGGGCATGGTGGCACACACCTGTAACCCCAGCAGCTCGGGAGGCTGAGGCAGGAGGATCATGAGTTCAGACCAGCCTCAGCAATAGCAAGGTGCTAAGCAACTCAGTGAGACCCTGTCTCTAAATAAAAATACAAACTAAGGCTGGAGATATGGCTCATTGAGTGCCCCTGAGTTCAATCTCTGGTACCAAAAGAAAGGATGATTTTATTTCTTCAGCATAAATACTAAGGAGTGGCATAGCTAGGTCCTGTGGTGGTCCATGCCTGGTCTACTGAGGATTTCCATGGTAGTTCCTAGTGTATAGTCCACCAGCAGTGTGGAGTGTTCCCGTTTCTCCACAGCATTTACTATTGTTTGTATTCTTGACAGTTGCCATTCTGACTAGAGTGAGATGAAATGTTGGTGTAGTTTTGATTTGCATTTCCCTGATTGCTAATAATGTGGAACATTTTWAAACTCTTTTTGTTGGCCATTTGTATTTCTTTTTCTGAGTTGTGTCTGCTTAATTTGCCCATTTATTAATTAAGTTATAATTTTTGAAGTGAAGTTTTTTTGGGCTTTGTATATATTCTAGATTTTAATCCTTTGTCAGAAGAGCAGCTAGCAAAGATTTTCTCTCATTCTGTAGGTTCTCTCTTCACATTGCTAATTGWTTTGTTGTTGTTGTGCAGGAGCTTTTTAACTTGATGGTATCTCATTTATTAGTTCTCAGCATCATATCCTGAGATTTAGGGGTTCTATCGAGAAAGTCCTTCCTGTGCCTGTGTGCTGGACTGTCTTGGTATTTGACGGGGGTTGCTTTGAATCTTACAGCACATTTGGTAGTGTGGTCATTTTAACAGTATGGACTCTGCCTATCCAGAACAGGGAGGTCTTTCTTTCTAAGGGTACCTAGGTGGTTTGTGGGGTCAGTACTGTTGGGGGTTTTATATATACACATACATATCACATAAGAGGAGAGAGGAGGTCTTTGACAGAACTCACAGTTGCTCATCCTGTTTTACTCATATTGTCATCAAAGTAAGAAAATAGGAATTATTTTCTAACTTTTTGTCTCAAAGATTATGCAAAAATAAGATCCACATTGCTATTTTTATATATGGTGCCATTGTGATTCTGGATAAGTTACAGATTTATTTTAATGCCATTAAAAGTTTTTACAAAAGTTAAGARGTGCCAGAGCACAAATGCAAGCACTGTGTGGGTTATAGATGCTTTCAGATTAGATGGCTCGTTTGAACCATTGGCCTAAAATTTAAGTATTGAAAACAGCACAACATGTATAACTAACTAGAACAGCACAACAAAAAAACAGCACAAACTGGGGCTGGGGTTGTGGCTCAGTGGTAGAGCACTTGCTTAGCATATGTGAGGCACTGGATTCAATTCTCAGCACCATGTAAAAATAAAAAATAAAGGTCCGTCAAAACTAAAAAACAAACAAACAAAAAAAACAGCACAAACCTACTTTGTGCTGTTTGGGATCAGTGTTGTTACTGGATCATGTCACAGTACAGGTGGATTTCATAAAGATTGAAAAGCTGATATAATGTTTGAAAAATATTTAGTTTATGTAGTTTCTTTCTGTTCAATAAGAAAAGCAAATGATTTGATTTTTAGAAGCCCAAAGTTCATTTTATTTTGAGTTCCAGCTCTGTTTAGGTTATATAAACACTAGTAGAAAAGTGTAGCTAGTAGAAAAGTGTCTCCAGGTTCACTGGTACTGCAAAAATGTAGGAAGCGGGGATACTTAAGAATTTACACTTTAAGCTGAACGCAGTGGCACACACCTGTAATCCCAGTGGCTCGAGAGGCTGAGGATTGCAAGTTCAAAGCCAGCCTCAGCAAAAAAGCATCTCAGTGAGACCCTGTCTCTAAATAAAATACAAAATAGGGCTGGCGATGTGGCTCAGTGGTCAAGTGCCCCTGAGTTCAATCCTTGATAACACCCGCACCCGCCCCAAAACAAAAAGAAAAAGAATTTATACTTTAAAGTAGAAACTATACAGGAATTAGGGGATTACTTAATAGAGAATAGTTTTCAAAGAGATAACAGTTAAACTTAATGGTAAAATTTTTACTTTTAAAAGAGTAAGCCTATCTACAACTATTGGACATTTAGGTAAACAAAGTTACATTTTATGTTTCAGTCTTATGACTGAAGAGAAAACATTTGGCTGTGAGGGTAAGACTTACACTTGGGTTGTAGTTTAATTCTTCCAAAATTTCTTTTTCTTCTTGAATCCGTTAGCATATTTACTTAACATATTTGCAGTTGCTCTGAATGTTAAAATTTTCAGTTATCACTTAGGTTGTGATTAAGTTCACCCTTGAAGGGTAATCTTCTATTTAATTAGTTTAATGCTAGGAATTGAACCTAGGGGCACTCAGCCATTGGACTACATCTTCAGTGCTTTTTATTTTTTCAACACAAGGTCTGTCCCAGTTGCTGAGACTGGCCTCAAAGTCATGACCCCCATGCCTCAGCTTCCAGTAACTGGGTTCCAGGTGTGTCAGCACCTGGCTGAAGTGCAGTCTGTCTTGCGATTGTATCCACAGGGGGACTGTGTGGCCCACGGGCAGGTATGTTGTTCATGTCAAGAGTTCTGCTAGTGGCCAGTGGCTGCTCTTGATCTGCCCAGCAAGGTGGGGGTGGGATGTCCTAGAGAAGAAAGCCTGTGTGTTTGATTTTTTTTCCCTCAGTATTCTTTCTTCTGAATTTGAATGGTTTAAGGAATTAAATCAAAGGTGGATGAACTAAAAGCAGCCTACGACCGAGAGGAGTCTCCAAATTTGGAAGAATACGAGCCCAACACTGTCGCCAGCTTGCTGAAGCAGTACCTGYGAGACCTGCCAGAGAATTTGCTTACCAAAGAGCTGATGCCCCTATCCGAAGAGGCCTGCGGGAGGGCCACAGAGAGCGAGAAAGTGCAGGAGTTCCAGCGCTTGCTCCAGGAACTGCCGGAATGTAACTACCTTCTCATTTCCTGGCTCATTGTGCACATGGACCACGTCAYTGCCAAGGAACTGGAAACGAAGATGAACATACAGAACATCTCCATCGTGCTCAGCCCCACYGTGCAGGTACCCGTGGCCAGCGGCCCTGGGAGTTGGGGCATGTTTGCTGTTTCAGATGTACGTGAAGCTGGGAGCCTGAGGTGGTGGAGGATGGGTTGGCTTGACTACGTCTTCTTTCATAAGGTGGATGTTGCAACAGATGAAAGATGATCAATATGTTTGCCCTTTTGCTTGTAGCTGTGAAATTTGAATGTCATACAGTCTTTGTGGAGTTATAAAGCAGTTCTTGGTGACAGTGATCTGTTATTGGAGTAGATAGAGCCCATGTGCCTGCAGTTACAGACTTCATCTATAAACTTGTAAAAGTTTCTGCTGTTTCATCAAATAGCATCATTGCCTAATTATATCACGTACACATCAAACTCAGGCACAGAGGACCGAATGTTCATTGATTTAACCAGGCTTTCGCTTGTAAAAGTGGGTCCCAGAGAGACCTATCTGTAGGCTTGTAGCGTGAGAAGGCACCACAGGGCATCAGGGGTGGTGTGTCCATTGGTGTCTTTCTGTACCTGTGATTGGCTTGCCTTTACTGCGCTCAGGTGAGCCTGCGTCAGGGTGTGTTTTCCTCTCAAGTTACTGATATACTTTTTTAAATATCTATTTTATTATTTTTTAATACCTTTATTTTATTTATTTTTATGTGGTGCTGAGGATTGAACCCAGTGCCTCACATGTGCGACTCAAGTGCTCTACACTGAGCCTCAGCCCCAGCCCCAGCCCCAGCCCTGTACTGATATTTTACTCAGGAAATAGTGGTGAATTTTTATTTTCAGTCCTCTTTTTGGCAAGCATACAGGGCACTGACCATAAATCATTATCACTGTTATAAGAGTATGTTTTATTTCACTAAAGATTCTTTTACTGTATGTTGATTTTATATATATATATATATATTTTTTTTTTTTTTCTTTCTTTTTTTGGTACCAGGGATTGGACTTGAGCACTTGGCCACTGACCCACATCCCCAGCAGTATGTTTTATTTCACTAAAGATTCTTTTACTGTATGTTGATTTTATATATATATATATATATTTTTTTTTTCTTTCTTTCTTTTTTTGGTACCAGGGATTGGACTTGAGCACTTGGCCACTGACCCACATCCCCAGCCCTATTTTGTATTTTATTTACTGACAGGGTCTCACTGAGTTGCTTAGTGCCGTGCTTTTGCTGAGGCTGGCTTTGAACTCGTGATCTTCCTGCCTCAGCCTCCTGAGCTGCTGGGATGACAGGCGTGTGCCACTGTGCCCGGATATTTATTATATTTTGGGAGAAAAATATTTTCAAGTTTCTCAAAATATAATGATCATTTCTACTAGTTGGGAGTTTAGCATTTGGTGAATGTTACATTGTTACTTAATGTTACCCTGCTGTGGACCCTTGTTGCGGCAGATTCCAGTGAGTTGTAGGAGTAAGTGTGGGAAAGAGCTTCTCACATCAGTTCAGCTGGCCCCGTCCCGTCCTCAGTGCAGGGTGGCCGCCACCTTTGAATGCTGGCCATGCAGGTGTACTCTAGAGCCACGCTGGGTCCCGGCCAGCCCTACCCCTGTGGGTGCTCTAGCATTTGCCTGGTCCACGGGAGGAGCTGCTGGTATGGGGTGGACGTGGTGTCTCTACGTGTTGGAAATGAAGAGCATCTGTTTTTTGTATCAGCTAATATCATAGTCATCAAAAACAATAACAGAGTCGTCAGCTTTGTGTCCCTTTTCTGGCCTATTTTTCGCTTCCATCCTCATGGTGTTTGAGCATATGATTTAACTCAGATTTTGTGATTTTCTTCTTAAATTGGCCATTGATGAGCACAGCCTGCCTTGTACTTCTGTGTCTAGGGTTAAAGGTTGAACGACCTGGAGATGCAAATGAAACAAAATGACAGTTTTAACTATCTCCTTGCAATCTCATCCCCAGATCAGCAATCGTGTGCTGTATGTGCTCTTCACACACGTGCAAGAGCTCTTTGGAAACGTGGTACTAAAGCAAGTGACAAGACCTCTGCGGTGGTCGAACATGGCCACCATRCCCACGCTGCCAGAGACCCAGGCGGGTATCAAGGAGGAGATCCGGAGACAGGTGCGTGCCTCACGCTGCACCACGCCTGCCACTCCGTGGCCCAGCATGGTGGAGCCAGGACAGTCTCTGCTTCCTGCACTTCCAAGTGCGAGCCCTCACACTTGTCCCCCTGTGTGGGAAGCCAGGCCTCTCCAGCTGGCGTTGGGTGCCACATAGGTCAGCATGTTCTGGTGGGAGAGCTTTGGTCTTGAGAACTGGAGACCTGGTGGGAACTCCTCTTCTGCTTCTTGTTAATGTACTGATTTCAGGTAAATCGCCAACCTCCTGAGGCGCTGGTGTCTTATTTTTTAAATAGATACCCATATGGGGCTGATGTCAGGAGTTCCCAGTGAGATAATGTGAGAAGTCTCAGCCCAGGACAGTCACTGTCTCTAAGAAACCTCTGTTGTATGGACAGAGTTGCTGAAATTGCCACCTGGAAGTTCTTATCTTAGTGATAAGCACCCTTGAATTTAGGGAAGTTAATAATTTATGTCACATGACTGCTAGGCTGTGCAACCAGAGTGAGGCCAAATCCTGGCTTTTCACTGTGCTACCTTGATGCAAGGGCTGCTCTGGGTATATAGATGAGAAAAACATTCAGGACTTTTAAGGAAATTTACATATATTTGACGATTTATGCATTTGCTTATTGTGCATGCACATTATCAAATCCTTGCTTCTCTTCCCTTATCTCTTCAAGTCCCCATTACTCATCAGTTGATGGTGTGAGGGAAGGGCACGGGGAGTGAGCGAGCTGCATCAGTGAGGGGGAACCCCACTCAGGCGGGCCAGGCGGGACTTACAGGCCCCCTGGAAGGCAGCACTACTGTTCATGCCACCGCTGGACGGAGAAGGAGCTAATMTGCACATTATTTTTATGTCGTGAGACATGGAGTACTATTTGGTATGTACTGTTGTTTTCTAGGAGTTTCTTTTGAATTGTTTACATCGAGATCTGCAGGGTGGGATAAAGGRTTTATTTAAAGAAGAAAGATTATGGGAAGTACAAAGAATTTTGACAGCCCTCAAAAGAAAACTGAGAGAAGCTAAAAGACAGGTGAGTGGATTTATTATTTTGGCATGTCATGTTTATACTAAAATAAAATAAGTAAAACTGTGGATAGAGCCTTCTGCAGATGGCAGGCAGGCGGGTGACTTGTCTTCAGGCCCTGCTGGGGTAGCAGAAACCCAGGGGAAGAGACGGCTCTTTGGAAAGTGTTATGATGAGGGCCGCCTAGAAGGTCTTGGAGATGGGGGACGCTGTCACCTAATTCTAGGAAGAGTCCACAGCTGGACTCTGATTTTCTGGCTTCACCTGTAGTGTTCAGCTGGGACTGGAGCTTCCCAGTGGCACCAGAACAAGACGCCCCCCACTTCTGTACCATCTTAGGCCCATCCTGAGACCCAGCRGCGGGTCCCGAGAACACTAGCTGGTGCTCGCCAGGCTGAGAGAGCAGAAGGGGCACTGTGGGGTTGTGTGGGAAGACCGAGTGCTGCCCTAAGGGCGTCTCGACTGCTGTGCTTCACAGTAGCCCAGAGGACAGGCCCACAAAAGCCGCCMCAGATGGGCCCTCTCCTCCTCTCCAGCCCCCAGCTTTTCTCCCATTCCCGTGCCTAGTTTTCATAGTCAAACTCTTCCCTTGGTGTATCAGCCTGGAATTGGAGTTAGTGATCTCTGCCCAGGCCTCATGAGGAGGCTGAAGCTCATCTCATCTGCTGTGATGCAAGCCTAATAGGAGTCTTAAAGCAGGGTGTGATAAAGCAGCTAGAGGAAGCTGGGCGTGGTACCCACACTGAGATCCAGTGATACTGGAGGCTGAGACGTGAGGGTCACAAGTTCAAGGCCAGCCTCAGTACCTTAGTGAGACTTGTCAGAAAAATTACAGAGGGCTGGGGGTATAGCTCAGAGCCCCCCGGGTTCTATCCCTAGTACCAAAAAAAAAAAAAAACAAAAAAACAAAAATGAGAGAAAGATGAGTGATAGGTTTAGTTTATAGGAGACTTGAGAAACAAGAACCATACATAGTAGTGGGAGGAGGTGGGTGGCTGCTGGGAGCCATCAGGTGGTGGCACAACCACGGGGCTCTGTGATGGTGGACTGTTCCGTAGCATGATGATGGTCATTGTGGATGGTGGTCATCGTGGTCATTTGACTTTGTAGTTGTCACAACTAGTTAAATTGTACACTAAAAATGGACATGCTAGCAGCCCTTCAGAGCCCCACAGAGGGTCGTTTATGCAGAAGGGTTCCAGAGCTGGAAGGCACACCCACTGGAAGGTGCGTCTGCATGGTGCAGGCTGACTGGGCCCTGTATCCTGTTCCGGGCCAGTTAGCAGCTGCCCTCCCGTGTACATGGTTTACCTGCTCCTATGACTCCTTCCAGTCCTATGAAGTGAGAGGGAGGATCCTGGATTGTGGTGGTGTGGATTTGCTAAGGATGTGTTCCCTGTAGACTGAYGGGTTCACTCACTCGTCTTGCTCCACAGGAGTGTGAAACCAAGATTGCACAAGAGATAGCCTCAAAGGAGGACATTTCCAAAGAAGAAATGAATGAAAATGAAGAAGTCATAAACATTCTCCTTGCCCAGGTAAGCTAACTCTTTGTCTCCATTTTGTCAGTCTCTGAACCGTCAGTTTTAACTTACAGTATAAGAAACTCAACTATAGGCTCTTTTCACCAAAATCACAGAAGGGGTCCGAGGGCCGAGCCTGTGGCTTTGGCACTGCCTCGTGTGTGCTGCAGGTTCAGCTGCAGGAGGGGTGGCCTTGTGCTGATTCTCCTTACAGGATGCTACCTAAAGGTCCTGCTTAATCCCCTGAGTTCACCCCAAGTCTGAGGTGTATCTACATGTTATTGGCATTTGTTCCACATTAATGAGACCAGACTTGAGTATCTTAGAATGTGTTCCTACTGTCTAAAAATGTAAGATCCGTGAAGTGTAAGGTTAAGTTTTAAATGATGGCTGTTGCTGACAACATGTGGTTGGTCCCATGTCTGCTGTGCAGGTGAAATCAGTTGTCAGAGGCAGGTTTTTATCTTTCATTGGTACAGAGCAGACCTGAGCTCATGTCTTTCTGAATTCTCAGGTCAGGTACTCTGTTCTGGAAGTTTCCAGAATCCAACCAGAAAGGAATGGCATCGAGGCTCTGCCTACCTGGTCTGTGTGGCTTTTGAGAAGCTCAGTGTAGGTCCCGGTCCTGCAGATTTGGTGTTTCTGGCCCTTGCCTGGTCCAGTGGGGGCACATAACTGCCCAGGAGTAGAGTCCTGGACCAGGCCTTCACCCCAGGGTTTTCAGCCTGACTCTTTTTTTTTTTTTCCCACCAATATGGTTTTATTTTTGTTATTGTAACATGTACAACATTGGATTTGYATCATTTTATTTCTTAAATATTACTGGAGTATGCATTAAAAARATACTAATACATTTRAAGCCAGCAGCAGTGACACACACCTAATCCCARCTATCTGGGAGGCTGARGCAAGAAGATCACAAGTTCAAGGYCAGCCTGAACAATATCACCAGACCCAGTCTCAAATAAATATATATATATATATATTTTATTTATATAATAAATAAATTATATTATAATTTATATAATAAATTGGGTTGGGGATGTGATTTAGTGGAATGTACCAGGGTTCAATCCCCAGTATCATCAAAAAACATCTAAGAAATATGACACATTAAGAAGGCCTCTATAAACATCATCCTTTCTTAATATATTTTCCTATTTTACTTCATATGTAAATAACCTATAAAATCATATATAAAACTATCAACTCTTACAGCCTAGAACTTCATACACATTTGAGAGTTTGAGAATAAATATTCTCTTTGATTTATAAATAACATGCAATATTTACAATGCTTAGTTTCATTCAAATGCTTATCACAAATTCTTATTGTCTCCCAACTTGTTSTGCTAATAGACCTTTTCAGTTTACTGGTAAAGATGCCATGAATTAAAAGTCATAATGGTCAAGTAAATATTAAAAAAAAAAAAAAGTGGCTACATAAATATCACTAAATCTTATTAAAACCACTTCAGCTTATATGAGTCGGCCTAGGTGGGTTGGCCAAAGCAGGAGCACCTGGGCTTCCTCCCGCTCACTCCTCCCGGCTCTCTCCTCCCTGCTCACTCCTTCTGGCTCATTCCTCCCGGCTCATTCCTCCCGGCTCATTCCTCCCGGCTCATTCCTCCCGGCTCATTCCTCCCCGCTCATTCCTCCCGCTCATTCCTCCCCGCTCACTCCTCCCCCTCACTCCTCCCCCTCACTCCTCCCTGCTCACTCCTCTGGTTCCTGTTTGCTGGGAAGGAAAGAGCGAGCGGTGAAGGCCCACAGCCAGCTGCTCCTCCCACAGGCAGGGTCTGTGGCGTCCTGGGTTTCACCAGCACTGCTGCTTTCCTCTAGGTTGGACTCTCTGGATCATGGGCAGAGAGTGATTTTTCCATTCTCTTTTCCCAAAGCTGTTTTATAACTGGAAATTCTGCCAAAGCAGACAGTTCACCGTCTCCTCACAGGGTGGGGGGACAGCATGGCCTGCTAGGGCGCCTTCCGTGCCCTCCTCTCCTCTCAGCTGCCCGCTCTTGGCTCCCTCCCTGTGGTGGTAGAAGGCCTTCGGGGACTCTGCCTCCCGGGAAGCCACTGTTGGGCCAACCACACCTGGCCTTGCAGAGTCCTCCCTTGCAGCCTTGGCTGCAGGGGAGGGGGAGAGAAGAGTCCTTCCTTCCAGAGGCTCTGTGTGCGGCCCAGGAACTCCTTCTTCTGGTCACACATTTTGTACCTTGGGCTCAACACAGAATGGGGCTGAAGAGACCTCAGAGCAGTGACGTCCCCTAGGCTGGGAGCTKCGAGGGCTCACAGTGCTCTTTCTTTAGGAAAACGAGATCCTGACGGAGCAGGAAGAGCTCCTGGCCATGGAGCAGTTCCTGCGCCAGCAAATCGCCGCCGAGAAGGAGGAGATCGAGCGCCTCAGAGCCGAGATCGCCGAGATCCAGAGGTAGGGCAGGGGTGCCCAGGGCTTGGTGCTGCCCGGTGTCTCCTGCCCCCAGGCCCCCCTGAGTAGCAGCCTCTGGCTCCTGCAGATTCAGGAGCAGGGCTGAGTCTGAGGAAGCGGGGGACAAGCGCACCCCGAAAAGTGCCTCTGGGTCTGAGGATAGGGAACTTGCGCATCTCGTAAAGTACTCCTGGGTCTGGGGTGGGGGGGGACAGGCTGCATCCTGTAAAGTGCCCCCAGGTCTGAGGAGGGAGGGTACAGGCACACCCTGTAAAGTGCCCCTGGGTCTGATGGTGGTGGTGACGGGCGCACCCCATAAAGTGCCCCTGGGTCTAAGGAGGGGAAGACAGGTGCACCCCGTAAAGTGCCCCTGAGTCTGAGGGGGGGGGCACAGGCACACCCCGTAAAGTGCCCCTGAGTCTGAGGGGGGTTGCACAGGCACACCCCATAAAGTGCCCCTGGGTCTGAGGAGGTGGGGGACAGATGCAACCCATAAAGTGCCCCTGGGTCTGAGGAGATGGGGGACAGGCACACCCCGTAAAGTGCTCCTGGGTCTGGGGCAGGGCAGGGGCAGGGCAGCATACCTCATAAAGCGCCCTGGCCTCTTTCCACAGTCGCCAGCAGCATGGCCGGAGCGAGACAGAGGAGTACTCCTCGGAGAGCGAGAGCGAGAATGAGGAGGAGCTGCAGCTCATCCTGGAGGACTTGCAGAGGCAGAACGAGGAGCTGGAGGTGCATGCGGGTGGCTGGACGGGGGTTTCCGGAAGGCTGTGGGTGCACTCTGCCTCTGGGCTTTCCTGGGCCACTGGCTCAGAGGATCTTAGGGGGCATCACACCCCAGAGTTGGTGGGCCTGGGCTGCTGGCAGGGTGTCCTCAGGCGGGTGTGACGTTTGGTGACCCCAGTGATGGGGCGCCTCCTGGACCCACCCGCAGAGGCCAGTGCACCTGGCCGCCTTCCCATGGGGCCAACATCTGCCACTCTGGGCCCAGGGGAGAGGCCACTTGCCTGGTAGGGAGACGGTCTCTGTTCCCAGTCAGGAGCAGCACAGTCAGGCTAGTGGAGGGAGCAGGCCCGGGTCTCCCTGAGGGCCGAGTGGTGACTGCTTCCCTGGCCTTCAGCCCACAAAGCAGCGGTGAGCCGTGGCTCTTGGGAACTGGGGCCAGGGCACAGTTAGCGGGCGGCAGGCCGGGTGCTCAGGCCCTCCCCTCCTCCCTGAGTGAAGCAGCTCCACTCCCCTCGGTGGCTCGCTCGGTGGCTGGGGCCAAGCGTGCCACGCCTGCCCGAGGACAGAAGAAGGCCAGGCAGGAACATGGCAGGTTCCGGGCTGCTCGGCCACAGGGCAGGCCCCTGTCTTGGCACATGTTACAGTGAAACAGACCGGGGGCAGCCGGGGATGATGGGCCTGGGGTTCCGTCCCCAGTACAGATAGGTGGTGGTCTGCGATGATGTGTGAGCCGAGACAGGACCGCAGAGTCCTCCAGCAGCCGCAGGGCAGAGTGCCGAGCAGCTGCCCTGGAGGCCCAAAGTTGGGATAGTCACCACCGCAGGGGGAGGCCTTGGGAAGGCCTCGCAGGGGCCCTTAGTCTGCTTCCCTTCCATGTCACTGGGCATGTTGCAGTCCTGAAGCACAGAAGCAAAATCCTAAGCGAGTCCTTAGGGTGGGGACAGGGGTGAGCTGCAGAGAGTGACAGGTGGGTCCCAAGTGCCATCTCCCTTCCAGGCAGGTGGCCTCTCCACTGGGCCAAGTGGCGCTGCCTTCCCCTTCGGGTGGGAGGGAGGATTCAGCCAGGTGCCGCGGGAGCCCGCCGTGCCCACCCTTACGAGGCCGACACCCTCAGCCCCACTGCCCGGAGCTGGGCATACCTGGGAGGAAGGGGGCGGGCAGTGTGGGTCTACTGCCGCCCAGCACCCCCGACTCTGCGGAGTGGGTGCTGCTATCCAGGGTGGACGGTGGCTTTCTGTAGGCCGAGTGGCCCCGTTCACAGGAGGGACAGCCCTGTCATAGAGGGATCCGCTCCCACCCTGCCTAACTCCTCCCTCTCTATTGCTAATGTCCCTTCTCTTTTGTCCTTAAAGCTTTGGGAAGCTAGGCTGTCCCTCTGTTCCTAGCACTAGGGTGCTCATTCAGGCCACCATGTCCTTTCTGCATGGTGATGCTTTGCAGCTGGGGTGACGCTTTGAAGATGGGGTCGTGCCCTGGAGTCAGGTCCTGGGCTGGCGTGGGGCGGAGTCCTTCTGCTGCCCTGCTGGCCGCCCTCTGACCTCCTCTCTCTGACACTCTCAAGATAAAGAACAACCACCTGAACCAGGCTGTCCATGAGGAGCGCGAGGCCATCATCGAGCTGCGGGTGCAGCTGCGCCTGCTCCAGACACAGCGCGCCAGGGCCGAGCAGCCCGAGGACGAGGAGCCCCGCGACGGCGTGCCCGAGGCGAAGGCGGCTAAGGAGCCCGCAAAGCCGTCGCCCAGCAGAGACCGCCGGGAGACGCCTCTCTGAGTGCCTGGGCAGTGGCGCTGGAAGGCGCCTGTGGCCCAGAGTGTCCAGCGTGGCCGGCGCTGTCCCTTCTGTAAAGACGCCTTCTCTCTTCAGACTCCTCGTCACGTTGGCTCGTCAGGCTCAGGGTCCCGGGGACGGAGCAGCGGACGTTTTCCAGATAGTGTCAGCTTATGGGGAATTAATTTTCTTTGTTAACTTAAAATWACTATTTTAACCCTTGAGTGGCTTCTTTTTAAACCAAAAAAATCGTGTTTCTTTGCTTTTATATCACAGCAGAATCAGGATCTCATTAAGGTGGGGACACCAAGCCAGGTCTCTGCGCCGCCTGTGGCTGCGGCCCGGGCTCCTGCTTGTGCCTTTAACACCTCATGGTGCAGACCATTCGGGGAGCTGCCTCCCGTGTGCCGGCCGGCCGGTGGCTCTCGGGTCCCTTTGCCCACTGTAGCCCTCCCACAGTTCTGAACCACAGTCCGCAGCCCGAYACCAGGTGGCCTCGGTGGCAGGCGGAGGCTGCGTGGAGCCTGCCCGCCCTGCCCGCGGGCTCCGGCTACTCACTGCCAGTGATCAGCAGAGGCCTTTGCACTGGGGCGGCCGGAGGCGGCCCCCTCGCCCCGAGGCATCCACCCACCAATGTTTCTCAAACCCGAAACCTTCCTTGTGACAGACCCTCCCGTCAGCAGTGACCTGGATTGCTTGCTTGGGCTAGAATGTACCCGTCTCTGCCTGAATAAGCCATATGTATGCTCCTACACCAAGGTAGGTCGTCSCTGCCCTCAGTGAGCCCGCTGAGGGACCCCAGACGACAGGATCGAGCAATAGGAAGAGACGCCTCCTGGGGGTAACTGGGACGCCCCTTTTGCTTCTGGCCCGTCAGATCAGATGGCTGCCGGGAGGCTCCTGGGAGGCCAGGCTCCTGAGGCAGCTGCTCGCTTGCGGCCCGGAGAGGCCGCCTGCAGCTCTGCAGACAGACCCCATGCACCCCGAGGCCCTGTCCTCCTCCTGGTTAGTATTTATTTCCAGCACCTGTCTGATGCRGTTTTTTATCCTCTACCTATTGCACTGTTGTGACTTGTCGGCCATTATTTGATTTTTGTACAAAAAAAGCTTTGTTATAGAAATCAGCATACTATTTTTTTAAATCTGGAGAGAAGATATTATGGTGACTGAAATATGGTCAGGTGTCAAATATAAATGTATAAACGCCTTCTTGCTRTTCTGTCCGACATCTTACGTTCATTTTGTATTTGCTGGCAATACYGAAGGTTTCTTCTGTTGGTGTGAACTCTGATTTCTTCAACGGTATCATGGGTTTTTAAAATCAGTGTCTCSTTACAACTGTCTCAGCGTTGGTGAACTAATTTTTGCCAGGACCATTATTGATTGAGCAAATAAATTCAACAGCCATTGGGGAAACACCGCCTGCTGTGACCTCGTGCACCTTCTTTCTCTGGAACAGCCGAGCAGGCTGTGGCTGAGGGGTGGGTCTGGGCACTTCCTCACGGGCAGGAGTGCCTTGCCTCGCGTGTCCCCCCATGCGCCTCTAATGGCCACCCCAGTCCTGCACCCCTCTTCACCGCCCCGCCGAGAGGAACCTAGGAAGCGGCACAGGGAGTCTGAGGCAGGTGTCCCCCCCAGCAGGGAGTGCTCCCCACCAGCACTGTGGTGGGGGTCCCAGGCTGGCGTCYGTTCACATCTGTTGCCCTCACTTCCGGTGGAGATGTACAGAGTGGCCCGTCCCAGTGACTAACCCAGCCTGGGTTTRCAAACCCCGCCGTGGGCTGCCAGTGGTCTGCAGGGGAGGCTAGGGCTCCTCTCACCTGCGGCCGGCCCAGCAAGGCCCAGTTGATGCGTTCACAGAAGTGGGTGTTTCAGACCAGAGGTCGATATGTGTGTGTGTGGTCAGCTTTTCCACTGCTGTGGCCAGACCAGCCGGCAGAATAACCTAGAGGAGGAAACGTGTTTCGGAGGACTGCCCATGGTCAGCTGACACCATATGCCTGGACTCAGGGTGATGCAGAGCTTCGTGGCACAGGAAGCAGACAGTGCCCTGCTCACCAGGTACAAAAGACCTGCCACGGGAGGACCTGCTCTGGCCAGCACACCTTACCTAAGCGAAGTGGCCACCTGGTTAATCCATGTCAGTGAATTAATCCACTCGTTAGGTCACATCCCTCGTTATCTAATTTCACCTCTGAAACTTCTCGAGTTGCAGCACACGTGAACTTTTGGGGGACATCTCATGTCTAAGCCATAACCCTTCAACCCTAGCCCTCCAAAGCTCTTGCCCATCTCACAGTGCAGAACCCATGCAGTGCGTTGCCAAGAGGTTCCCCATATGCTTTTTTTTTTTAATTTTAGTTTTTAATTTTTTTAGTTGTGGTGGACACAATACCTTTATTTATTTACCTATATGTGGTGCTGAGGAGCGAATCCAGGGCCACATGTGCTAGGCAAGGGCTCTGCTGCTGAGCCCAGCCCAGCCCAAGATTCCCTTTACGCTTAACAGTCTCAGCGTTACCCCAATGTCAAATCCCAAACCTCCTCAGACTCAAACTCTCAGCACGAGCCTCTTTAAAAGTTGAAGGACAAGTCACATGTGCCTAATATACAATGGCAAAGAGTAAACCTCCATCCCGAAGGGGAGAAGCCAGGCATGGGGGGCTGGGATGGGACAAAGATTGAAACCAACTGGCAAGCAAGTGTAGGGACAGCTGCACACCAGCCGGCTTCGCACCTGTGACCTGCTCCACTTCTCTCCAAGGTCGTGGGGTTTGTCCCTGTGGCCTTGGTGGTGGCCCATGTGACCTGTTTCCAGGTGGTTCCACAGCTTTGGTTTCCCTCCCACGTGTCCATGCATCGCCCTGTCAGCAGCAGCCACAGGACTCCGGCCCCCTGTGCTCTGCCTGGCCCCAGGCCTTCCTCTGAAGCTTGGTGGGAGCCTCCAGGACCCCTGCATCCAGCACCCTGTTTTCTTGCAGAATCCAAATTGACTTCAGTTTSCATTTCAATATCATTACCATTAAGTTTATCTTGAGAAGTTATTTTTCTCGATTTTTCACTTTCCACTACTTTTGCTGCTGCCTTCATTAGAAAAGTTGATGATTTTTCATTAAGCACAT